TCGGTAAAGATATCCACATTTCCGTTCTTGATGGCAACACCGCGTGAACTTGCAGGTGATTAACAAATTTCGGAATACCTTAATTCAGCCCTGAAGACAGAGTCAGTTAGTCCAACCGAAACGGTGTTATCTACCTAAAAAACACACTCCGCGCAACAACCAGGATACCAACATCGACATAACACATAACCATGTCGAACTCATGTAAATTATTTAACGACAACGGTTCATCTGAAGAGGTTACGTAGCATCAAACCTGACTGGTAAACGGACATGAATAGAGACTATGTGAGGATTTGTAAGGAGGTGGTCGTGGTCTATTTGAAGTTGCTGTGGCGGAATTCGCCTAGTGAGATAAAGATTTTAATGAGGATACCATGTGATGCGGGCAAGGTTCGATCCAAGTACCTGCGAAATAAAGGTTATTTATCCGACGCAGTAGACAGAATATCTCAGTCAAAGGAGTAGCAAACGAAAACCTCGTTCCAGCTACAGCAGCGTATCTGGATTCGAAATATTACCATCTCAAAGACAGTACAAAGTATATTATTAAAATTAATCTCAGAGAAAGTGTTGAGGGTGTTCCGTCTGATCCAGCGGCAGAAATTAATGAACCCTGGGGTTATACAAAAGGAGTTAATTATCTCGATTGTGATTATCCCAGCGATTATCAGCTTCTCAAGGAAAAATCTGCACCACAGATTTAGTTCCAAATAAGATTTTCTTAGGAGTGGTTTTTGGCTCCTGGGAGACCAATAACGTGTGACGGAAACCACGTATGACTTTGCCATGTCAGGAGATGCTATATAACCTCTGCAGTTGAAACAATATCGTTAAATAACTCAGTAATGAGTTTGTGTCAGGCTAGAAATGCAGTAATTATCCTTCGAAATTTACATGTTCTCCATAGCCTATGTTCTTAGCACAGTGATGAAGTTTGTTGCAAGAATTTTCAATTATATGGTTACAAACGAATGAACCGTCAAATATACTTAATTAAATTTGCAGTAAATTTTTAATTCATGCACGTCAGGTATTACAGATATTAACCAATTTCGAGCAAAGTTATTGAAATGTGAGTATGATTTGAGGTCTTCACGGCTGTGAGTCCCGAAGATGGCAGTCTTCTTCTGCGTTGTAGCGCCGTGTAGTCAGGTAGAAGTCTACCTAAGTTTCAGAGGTCCCTGCTGCCTCCATCGCCCAGGGCGATTATCACCCTGATCGTTAGTAAACTTCTGCCACACTACACGGCGCTGCAGTCTTATTAAAAACTTTTCCCCATTATCAGACATCGTGAGAATTCGTATAGTAATTGATAAGAGTCACATTTTCGTATAAATAAAACGCAGCGAACTGTTGTAGGTAATCAAATCAATAATTTCCTGAACGAAAACTGGAAAGAAGTGGACAAGCAGTTGTCTCCAAGTCTGAATGTGGCAATCTCTAAAATCATCAGCAGCATAATTGAAGGGCTGACTTCTGTGGTTCCTTACGACGTAATATTCCCCGAAAGGTTGCCGTGAACGCCAGTCCACCATCTGCTGCAGTGAACATTGACAAACGACTCGACTTAGCTTCGTTGCCTTCGCCACGAAGACAGAAGTGTGTTCAACATTCGTAATAAATCACTCAAGAATAAATGAATAATGTGAAGTATTGAGCGCACACAACCTAAAATCCACCAACGGCGCTACTATAGCAATGGTTATGACGGTAGAAAAATAATTATTTAAGAATTATAATCAAAAATTGTCTATTATATTCACATGTACGTCTTTAGAGCGTACCTGCCATTATTCATGTAACTCTGATCGGAAATAAACACCTTAATTCACTTTGATTTTCTGTGTGTAATAAATTTCTGTCTTAATTTCGAGACCCATTTTTAGTTTACCTCTCAAATCACACACCAGGGGCAATGTTTGCGGTGACCACAAGAGATTCTACCTTCTTCCTGTTGGTTTCAACCTTCTGGGATCCCTTCCCCGACCCTGTGGATTTCACACGATTTCAAATGTGTTGCCAGCGCCTTGCCACACGACCATCGAAAGAGACAGACGACATTACGAACTGTTACCACTCCAGACACAATTTTCGCTATGGCCTCAGTAAGTTTGCCGTAAGGGCAATGATAAGGACATCTTTTAAAAATGTGTATACTTAAAACGTTAGGTGTAATTCATATTCTCTTGTCAGCCATCTTATAAACACGGATTATCAGCTTGAATGCCTTCTCTCAGTGCCCTGATCCTTATTACTCTGGAAATTCCTTCAAATATTCTACAAATATGCCATTTATTTCTGTTAATAACCATACAAATTAATTCCACGCTGCAAAATTATTCTTGAAAATTTCATGAGTCGAGTAGCTAGTGAAGAAATTTTCCGCTCTCTATGGAATCAGATTGTTCATTACCGTGTTTATAAAATCTATGTTTAGCTAAGATCAATTTTATTAATATCCTTCCATCTACGCCTAGATCTCGCGAGTACTCTCCTTCCGGTTTTCCAACAAAAATATAATATGCTTTTCGCGTCTCCTTCTTGCGTGCTGCATAACCTGACGATTTTCCACCATTTTCGCAACACACACACACACTCTCGGGGTCTCTTATTCTGCCATCACGGCACCCAAGAAGATTAGGTGTCGTAGTAAGGTAAATGATGGCACTGCATATAGTTATATCATTTATATATTTTTTTTAACTTTGCATCTATGAGAAATAGAACTCAAGATTTTTCCTTGCCAAGGGACGTAAAAGTCGGGTAAATGAAGATTAACTTTAGACTGTGTTTAGTTTTAAGATCTGTACATGTCAAACACGTGGGAAATATCTAATTTAAGCGTGCACAAAATGTGTAAGAATACACAGCTTGGGATATCTAGACACAATAATATTAAAATTTAAATTAACTAAATGGAGTGTGAGGTGACGGACTGGACTGAATTAACTCAGGATAGGGTAAAGTGGTGAGAGTATTATTAAAAAAACAATGAAACTTCGGGTTCAATTAAGGCCGAATAATCTCGCGACCAGCTAAACGAAGAATTAATGTCTAATTTTCTCATTCATTCCATGTCCCTTGTGCTGCCACATCTTATTTGTCTCTGGCAAAAACAAACTCATCAACTTGCATCTAATCTCGGTTCGAGTGTCTACACATACCATAACAACATTCAGTCAAGGTAGTCAAGGCTGAAACTTCACATCAAATTTCCACTACGTATGTCTTTATGACGTAAAATTAACTTAATAACCAGTATTAATGTTGTGACCTTCTGAAGCCGCACCAAAAGGAACACGTCACAATATTATTATCGCGAGCCAAGTGTTATTAAAGAGATATCACGTGCAATTTGACGTCAAAACCTGCCATAAATCAGGACAGAGGTAATAATTACAGCACACTAGACATTGGAGCACCTTCGTTCTTGCGAAGCTAATAATAACTCAAGAAATTCCTTGCCTTCCACTCGCTCCGAAGGTCAATTATTGCGTTAACAAAGTCTACTCACTCCGCTATATACAGAACTTGTTAAATAGTTGACAATTCTTCTTTAAAATACATTTTAGTATCATCTTTCCTTTGAGAGTCGGTCTCCCAAGTACTCTCGTCCCGTAAGATTCCCGTCCAAAATTTATAAATGTATAGATCACCTTCCCAAACACCTTCAATCTACGGTCTTCCCTTAATGTGGCAGATAAGATTTTGTAATTAATTACCAAAATGCATTTAAACACATTTTTGTGGACACGCTGATGGGCCTTCGGGTTCGATGCAGACAGTGGGATAGTCTTTAAAAATCTGAGCAGAGAGAGAGTGAGAAATGTATTAGTCATTGAAGTTTAAGATCGACGATGTCGTATTTTGTAGAGTTTTACTCAGATACAATCTTACCTTAAAGATCCCTTTTCCTTATTTAGAAACCTAACCTAACCTAACCTAAAACAACAGATTCAGAGAAGAGCCGACATTTAAGATACACCAGCGGGATTTATGAATAGAGTGTTAACATATTGGTATCTATTTTCCGAGCGTATTTTGCGTTGAGGTAAACAATTTCATCCCGCATACATGCGAAATTTATTTACACTTTCAAACTTAACAAGGACAATTCAAAACAGATTTTAAGACTTTTTTTTAATTCCCTCATAGGTGTAAAGATTTCAGCCAGTATTTTACACATCATATAAGCTGTTCTAGTACGACGCCATATTCTGAAATCCGTCTACCAAACAAGATGTCAAAAGTAATAATATAGCTAATTGAATCTTCATCATTCTTTACAAATAAGTAGCATTTCTTTGTAAACTAAACTAAATGTGAAAACATCTTGACGGCAACTGAATCCGTCACACCCGCCACGTGTATTTCTCGCTACAGGAGTCGCCACTGTCAGAATTTCGCAATTTTTCCCCCCGGGACGCACAAGATGACGAACATTGGCTATTATATGACTAGATTACAAGAAGAAACAGAAATTTCTCAGAAGTTCCTGTCAGCAGATACGAATGTATTAATGTACTTCGTTCTACAACTGATAATACCAAAAGGGAACACGTGGCCTTTCCTGTAACGTGGTGATGACCAAAAGCCGTAATAGGCTACATGAGGAGTATTGGGATAATGGAGGCAAAGCTCCACGTACTCTTAATTTCAACGAAGGCTGGAGATAAGTGGTTATATTGCCTTCAAGGAAAGTACGGCCGAATTCCGTTGGGCAGGATAGCACAGAACGTGACAGGGCGGGACGGCGAGAAATATTCCTACGCCGGGATCGGAAAACTGACACGAACCACGTCATTAGAATCAGCCAGTTAATATAAGCTTTGTAGCAAAAATAACACACCGACACCTAATTGAAGAATCAGATTGAAAATTTTCCACTTTGAGTGGCAGTCACGGGTTGGCCTTGCCAACACAAATAAAAACAAACTTTTAAGCTGCAGTTACATTTTAAAATATTATCTGCGTAAACAAGTTAATTGTGACGTCATTTTGCGGACGGATAACTTATAAAACCAGGGCTGAGTGTTGGGCAGTTCAGTTTGGCGAATGATCATTAAACTGTAAATTTACATCATGCGGGAAATTTGCATTGTTCTGACAGTGGCTTCTGCGTTTATAACAGCGGGGGCCCTGCAACTTCGTAAGTAAAAAGCATCACCACTAAGCCTACAATACTGCCAACAAAGAAAAAAATATGTTTCTACAGAAACGCAGTAAAAGTAAACTGAAGACAACATTTAAATATTAAATTTAAACAAACATATAAGCAGAGTAAGGATTTCATGCATGCAAATGCTCTGCTAGCTAGAAAGAAAAATGTAGTTCGCGTAGGTATATTTTATGTGCAGTAGAAGTTTCTTTCATCTATTCGAGGCAAAGCCTCTAGAATATAAATTACTCGGTAATGTTGGCTGCCTTGAAACCACAAACAAATTAATGATTTTGTGCAAATGTTTATTTCCAACAAACATTTTGAGATAGCTTGTTCATGTATTGAGCGTAATACCGTTTGTTAGTTACCAATTTACCCAAGTTAGGTTAGGTTAGGTTGGCAAGTGCAAAGTCAGTCAATTTCTTCAAGATTTCCAGATGACGGCAGCCTTCATTCCTGAGCAGTCTAATCTTATTTCTATTGGGGAAAAAAAAATCACTGTATTTAAACTCATGTCTGTGTGAAGAAAATTCACAAAATGTTTTAAATTTATTATAAACTCTAGTCTGAAAGACGCTTAGAGATTATTCCAATGTACTTAAAAAATTCAATTATAATTACTGCCAACGAAAAATATATTTTAAGTGTTTCTCCTGACAGCATGCATATTAACGGACAGGTACGGTATTGGGATTAATGTCTCCTCTGTTTCCAGCTAAATACGTCAAGCCTTGCGGCAGAAACGACCCGAATTTCAACGAATGCGTAATAAAGCATGCGCGAGAGACGTTGAAAGCCCCAATACTTGAAAAGGGTGAGTATTGGAAAAGAGAACAAATGCAGTGTTCCTTCAACAGCGAACAAAACTAATGAAAGACGTTTCAGAGAACAATACTGCCTCCATCGTCAGAGTTGAAACGACGAAGGTCAGGGTTAGGTCTCGGGAATTGGCCAATCAGGGCCGGGAATCAAGAGAGGCCACAGGCTGCTGCAACCGGATTGAGAGGATTTGAAAACAATTTGAGAATTCCCGGTCCTTAGAAGGGGGAACTCATAACGAGGAACGTAAAATAATTCATAACATTCACCAGATATTAGTAAGACTTTAGATTCTCTTGGTGACAAATATAATCTTCATACTCATCGCTGTGAGAACCTCAAGTCTTACATACAGATAGTTATCATCAGGGCAACAAATGCAGTAAGCTCCTCTGAAACGTCGGTCAATATCTGCCAGACAACATCCCAAGGGAAAGCCATCTTAACGAGATATTACTGGAATCATGAGATCAGCTGACCTCCGAGCTCTGTTCCAGGTGACCCCAAGTACAAGTTACCGTCCATAAGCCCGTTGCTGATAACGGAGATAAAAGTGGTAAACACAAACGGGATCAACCTAATCATCCGAGACATCAAACTTCATGGCTTACTGGGGGTCAGCGTTGATAAATTAGAGTAAGACCTTACGGCAAATTGTTCATTTATAAGAAACAAGTGTTTTGTCTCGCGTGGCTTCGACTGTCCATGAATATTTTTTATTTTAGGTTCGACTTTGAAAAGAAGCGTGTTTTCGGCGAGTTCAGGTTTCCAGTCTTGGAGATAATCGGAAAATATAAAATGTCGGGACGTCTTCTGCTGTTACCCATAAACGGCGAAGGAGACTTAAATATCACCCTGGGTAAGAAGACATCCGAGTGTTGCATGTCTTTACATCTGCGCCAAGTTGTAATACTGTTTACATATTCACGAGGTTACTGTCTTATACAGTCATTGAAATCTCTAAAAGCCCGCTCCCTGCGGCAGGAGGACAGAAATAAATTGTAGCGTGCGCGACGAAGCTTGTTCAAAACAGCTATCCAGTCACGAATTACTAACTAACTAACTAACTAGATGGCTTACGGAACCCGAAGGTTCATCACCGAATTAACCAAAGCCCTCCACCGGACCCTGTCCTGGGCCAACAAAATCCAGTCTCCTTCAACTCCTATCTCCCATAGATCCCACCTGAGATTATCCTCCCATCTACGTCTAGGTCTCCCCAGAGGTCTCTTCCCCTCAGGCTTCCCAAATAGTGGACCCAACCAACCAGATGGCTTACGGAATTCGAAGGTTCATCACCGAATTAACCAAAGCCCTCCACCGGACCCTGTCCTGGGCCAACAAAATCCAGTCTCCTTCAACTCCTATCTCCCATAGATCCCGCCTGACATTTTCCTCCCATCTACGTCTAGGTCTCCCCAGTGATCTCTTCCCTTCAGGCGTCCCAAATAGTGGACCCAACCAACTAGATGGCTTACGGAACCCGAAGGTTCATCACCGAATTAACCAAAGCCCTCCACCGGACCCTGTCCTGGGCCAACAAAATCCAGTCTCCTTCAACTCCTATCACGAATTACTGCGCGTTGGAATATTTAACAAAGCTCTTTCAACTATATATTTGTTGAACATCGTCGAATGTGCAGTGGAAATAATCATAATGGTGACCATTGGCGGGTTAATGACTTATTTTGAAAGTGTCGTCTCCAAATTAGCCTTCAGTCCTAAAAGCAGTTTTACCTTACCGGAGCCAATTCAATTCAAACCACTACATCAAAGCACATATTACCTTCAGAATTGTGTTCACATTGTCCTCAAAGCTTCTCAACCAATACTTGTATACACAATCTAAATAAGGAGAGACGTGAACCCTTTCCTCAATTTTCCTTTTAGGTACAAATATTTTCCATGTTACTTTGTTCCCCGAAACTTAAATCTGTTCTTCGCTTCCGTAAGAGTTTAAAGCATAACTGTTGTGTCTCAGTCAAGACGTTTAACCCTTTAAAGCCCAGTGGTAATTATATGTACCGCCTACTTTAACAATAAGTAACTTTGAATTTTGTATTTATGAATTTATTATTATTCTCACTGCAAACAGCGATCATTTTCTTAAACAGCGTTAACCAGTTGATCTTTGTAATGGTGAAACTTAGTGTTTTCTTTGCGGTAAGGACTGAATTCTTAAATATTATTTAGACGAGCTTCGGCTGAGTTACATTTCGTTCCAATTTTTTGGTAGCGTTAATATGTAAGGAACACCGAACCCCAGGACAAAGTGTTCGCTTTAACGTGTTGCATGTGTTCTTTCCTTCAGTGGACTCTAAAATGTCGGTCGAAGGTGACTTTGTTCAGGAGATCGTCGGTGAGACACAACACGCAGTCGTCAATAACCCGAGGGCCACTATGGATCCCTCAAGGATGTACGTTCTCCTCACGAACTTGTTCAACGGAGACAAAGTCCTGGGTAAGGAGGTACAAACGATACGTACAGGGAAAAGTTCTGAAGAAACACACTTTATCCCTGAAGATGGAGGCAATATGTTTCTCCGAAACGTTCACACATACCTACAAATTAAAATGACGTTACAACTCACAAGATGAACTTTTCGAAGAAACATACTGTCTCCATCTTCAGGGATGAAGATACGCCAATTTAATTGTAGAATCATGAACACATCCCCCAGCGTAGTATGCAACTATCAACATCTCGTCTTGACAATATTGCACAGAGCAAAATTACCTTGTCAGAAATGTGGGTAAGCCTAGGGCGTGATATGAAAGCAGGCCCAGTTATGTGGTTGTAACATGTTGCAGGTAAACAAATGAACGAGTTCTTAAACGACAAGTGGAAGGACGCGTACAATTCCTTGTCCGCTCCTATTGTCGAAGGCATAGTGCAGGCAGTGATCAGTGTCATAAACGAGGCTTCATCGGTGGTTCCTTTCGAGGAAGCATTCCCCGAGAGTCTACCGTGAGCTGATCTATCATCGCCGTTTCAGAAGTGAGTGTACGAGAACGCTTCAACACGATTCCGTCGACTCAACACTAGCATAGATAAATTGCACTTAAAAGTAATCCAAACTTATAGTATTAAAAACTTCGATAGACTTTGTATCTTTGTTTACTCGTAGATAGGTTTAAAATGTATTACACTTAGAAACCGTTTAAAGAGAAAATATAAAGTAACAATTAATTATGGTTTAAAATGTATTACACTTAGAAACCCTTTAAAGAGAAAATATAAAGTAACATTGGATTACTTTAAAAGGTTCAACTCTATAAGTTACATGAAGTGACACGTGAACTTTAGTCAGCAAAGATGGTATCATCGTCAAAGTAACAACTACTATCAAAATATAATTAAGAAGTTTTAATGCTCAGCTCATTTGAGCGTGTTACTTTGTAATGTAACGAAAGAGTTCCTGTTTTAAATATGATATTTCGACATTCTCAAAAATAAAGTAGGAATTGCATAAAAGCTGTAGTATCTTACATATTTCATGTTTTGTTGTTTGTGATTTTATTAAAACTTAATTCTGTCTTAAAATATATCCACTGCAAGAAAAATGTTTTTACTGAACATAACATCACCAGGAATTAAGGTAGGTTCGTGTCTTTAATTTCCGATTATCAAACAATTAAATTTTATGTAGGTCTAACTTACAAACAGCTGATTTCCCACAAATTAAAAAAAACTTAAATCCCGCCCAAAATTCCTAAATCAGAGATGTCCCATTAATAATGTTATTACCAACACGAAAAATACCTCAGCCGCTGTCAGAGTCACATGATTCTCAGAAATTGAAAGTGCAGCTTCTGATACGCTGATTGAATTGGATTTCCTGTAGTCTGAATTATGTGTCACAACTCTTAGGTTAGGTTAGGTTACTACATTTTTCCTGCTTTGAATAAACCAAACTGGCCGTATCATAAATTTACACACAATATACATAAAAAACATAAAATAAAATGTGTATTTGCAATCTCAAGGACACATAATAATAATAATAAATACTATTATTAATATTATTGTAGATATATTCTCAGTTGTAGCAACGGGTTTGTGTCCGCGACGGATATATATCAAAGAAATTATGTATTAAAGAAAACAGTCTGTAAAAAACATGTTCACTTCAGCAGTAGAGTTTGGGCAAAACGTACTCAACCTGACCACTATTTCATGTCCAAGGACGCCAACCTGTCTGGAACGAACCTGAGGCGAGAGGTAGCAGGTAAGTACGTGTTACTGTTGCCATGTCGAGACAAGGACTGCAAATGCAAACGGCGATTAATCGACTAGTTGCTCAACAAGTTACAGAAACTTCATTTTCATTCGCGTACATGAACAAAGACCACTTTGATAATGGAAACCATCCAGAAGGGTCACGCGTCCTTGAAAATAAAGGCTGGATTTAAGTAGGATTTGATATTTTCACGGCGGTGAGTCCGAAGGTGGCTCTCTTTTGAGTTTAACCGACGTTTCAGAGGTCCTTGCTGCTTCCATCATCAGAGCATGGGCTCACGCACTCCTATTGGTTCACACGTCCTCGCCTGATTCTGACACTAGTCCCCACTGGTTAGGTCCCTATAACTCTATCTCTTTCCACTCGTACGGCCTATTCATCGCCCTGATGGTGGAGGCAGCAAGGACCTCTGAAACGTCGGTACACGGTGCAACAACCCAGAAGACAGTGATCTTTCGGCTGGGTTTAAGCTGTCCGTTGTCATGGCTGGTGTCTGGCAGACGACTCAGGTCTTATACCTCAGCGCATTGTAGAAGACGGAGGGGCAGATCGACATCTGTATAAACACATACAAACAACAAATGCCATTTTTAATTAACTGGCGTACGTAAACGGTTTGCAGATATTCTCACACACACACACACACACACAAATTTTGTAAATATGAAGACACGAAAGTGGTCAGAGGATCCCGATACATAATGATTTATGCACATAATAATCGCTACAGTTGATACTGGATCGTTAAATAACCTGCAATCCTAATGACAACACAGTTTCTGGCATGATTTACAAACTAAGCGCCGTGAATGAGCGGCAACTTCTCCGACTCCGGTGTTAAGCGTGTAGTCTCCACGGAGAATTGCAGGCGCGAGAGAAATTCGGATCAAACTCGGGTGTTGGATCCTTGAAATATTCTTGGGATTTTAAGACACTGTTTCAACAACACAGGTTACACAAAGTCTAATAAAACTTAAGATCTTGAAAGGCAAGACGATAAGAATCTTTTGAAAGACCCGTACTCTATAACAATTCGATGGAGTACATTCCATGAAAAGCTGATACTCGCTCAGCCATCCAAACGTTCACTGCCGTGTCCACAAGAGCCCACATTGTGAATTCGGTCCACAACCTCCAAACTTAATTCCGTGGTTTCTAGACAAAAAAAAAAAACGTTTTAAGCATTTCTCTTCTCTCCCATGCTTGTTACATGCCCAGCCAATCTCATCCTACTTCATATGATAATTTTTATAATATCCTGTGAAAATTACATTTATGAAGCTCGTCGTTATGAATTATATCTAGTCTCCTGTTATTTCATAATTTTTACGTCCAAATATTCTCATCAGCGTCCTATTAGCGAACACGTTAAATTTATTTGTTCTAGATTTATGAAATATTGTTTTGTTCAAAGACGATTTTCAACGGATAGGTTACATGGTGTCGGAAAATATGGTAAGAGCTTCAAGGAGAGATTTTATTGTATATGTTAATGCGCTAAGTAGCATTCACTTCAAGATACAGAGGAAAGCCGATGAAGATTCTGACCAGCTAACCGGAAGCCAGAGCACGCAGGGCAAACGCAATTAGAAGCGAAAAACATCTTTACTTTGAGGTAAGACACATTCGTTCGGAAACCGATGGAAACATTCAATTACATTTCAGTCCCAAACTTTTTTACTTCAGACCTTCTGATTCTAAAACTGTAGACGTTACGTCATAAACCAAACATTTTCGCGAACAAACGTAATTGCAAACATGTTAAGTGTATGTATTATTAATTGCAGAAGTGACAAGCTAATTTCCAGGCCCATCTCATTTACAGCCAGTCACCATGGAAACACATTGAATTGTTTGCACAAAAGTTTGAAGGGCTTTATAGCAAACCTTCACAGGTTTTATAGGTTAAATAACATACGTTTCCAGCGCATTCTGGTGTGAGAGACGAAACTTCTAGCAACTTCACAAAGACATCAAGTAGCTACTGTGGGTACATTAGTGTTCTAACAGAGCCAATAACATTATAGATATAACATTCTTTACAGTCATAATATTCGTTAAATATTAAAAGTACATAAGATTTTCAGAAGTAAAAGTTGTAGATCTTAATGAGCACCATAATTTATGTTGTTATGTTATGTGTGAAGTCATTAAAAATTATACTAAGTTACCATTTCAAACAGTTTCACAGATTATTCGATAATTTTCTTTAACAGATTTATTTGTTAAATTCGATAATTAATCAATTGAAATTATACATAAAATCCAAGCGATAACTATTTTTATTACACGGAGTGATACGATATTATAAAAACGTAGGGGTGTCGCATGCGACTAGCGGACCGTGGATTGAGAACACCTGATTTCACTGTCTGGCTCAGGTGCAGACTCCAAGCCAGAAAATGGGAGTTTCCAGCGTTACTGTCCTGTTGATGGTTTTCGTGACAACTTATGTTGTCCAAGCTACGAATCCCGGGTGGGGGGGGGGGGGGGGGGGCATCTGACTTAAAACAGCTGCACAAGTTGCTGATATTATGTGACCTTGAAGTAGTTGCCACAAAGTCTAAATCTACGTTATGCAACAGCTCATTACTTTGTCGTCATCAAAAGTCAATTAAATGCGATGATGCATAAATTCGTATTTATCATCACACAGAACGAAATAATAATAATAATAATAATAATAATAATAGCAAGCTAGGAAAGTGCATCCGTACCGGAAAACACATAATATCACAATGCGTTATTTGCAATATGCATTTAAAAACTTTGTCCCGCGAAATAAATTCATAAATTGAATGAATTGAACAGAAATGACAATATTAAAGTTAATCATGGTGTTATGTTGGCGGGCCTGTTGTTGCAGCAAGTGAGTTCTTCCAGATCTGCCACAGGAGTGATCCGGATATTTCGAGCTGCATTAAGAACACCCTGGAAGACCTGAGACCACTGCTCATCAAAGGTAACACTCTCACACGTCTCCACACAAAGGAACGTGTCCATGACAACAGTTTCAAGCTGCGCGTGCGTCTGTCAGTCCTTTCGTTAGTTTAAAATGTCCGTTGTTATATACAAAAAAAAGTGCAGTCTACATTACTACACGCGTAATTTAAAAGTAGACACTAATTAAACTCAGTGATAAAAAAACAAAACAAATCTTTACAACTATTCATGAGATGATAATGTTGCGTCATATTGTGATGATTATAATTGTTTAATTTTAACCGTCTAATCACAATAAAATATTTTATTAAATATTAAAATATTATTATAATTGTAAATCGAACATTTAGAAAGAGCATCATTTTAATATATTTTAATATATTTTAAATATTTTAAATATTAAATGTTAATTGTAATAATAATATTTTAATATTTAATAAAATATTTTATTGTGATTAGACGGTTAAAATTAAACAAATCTTTACAATCTTTACGTACACAAACTTAGGTATGTTCTGCAAGTCTTACAGGCGTCTTGAGATTCGCTCATATCGGAGGAGTCGTGCATTTTTTACATTTCTTCACAAAATTGTGAGTTTTAGCGCCACCCGGTATACATACCTCACGCTAAAAGTACAGGACCTTAGTAGCCAGCTTCAAGCTCAGGCTGCCTTTATCAGCACACAAGCATGCCTCGTTATGCGCGGAGTACACTTTCGAAAACCAAGTAATGCCCTGACGAGACGTCGAGTCGAAATCAGTGTAGACATGACACACTGTTGCAGGCATCCCCGAGCTTTACATCGTGCCAATGGACCCTCTCAACATCCCCCGCCTGGGATACAAAGAAGTGAACGGAAATTTCGAGATGGAACAAATTCTGAGCAACGTCACGATCCACGGCATTGGCCAGAGCAAGGTGTTGGATGTCAGGTGGGTTGCGTCTACATCCTGCGAAGATGTCACTTAATAATGTTTGCCTTCGGCCATTCTTACCGGGTTCATAACAGCCTGCCATTTTTAGAATGTGATGATAATAGTTAAATCCTGTCAAAACGAGCGCATCCTATTTACAACTGAATCCACACACCCTCACAAATTATTTCTTGAAAATGTATTTTAATATTATCCTTCCATATACGTCTCTCTTCCAAACAGTATATCATTGAATATTTCGTCTTCTAAAATGTTACTTAAAACTGCCATTTTTCGTAAGCGTGGTACACATCCGGCCTTTCTCACGATCCATTAACGAGTTTATACTGAGTTCCAGCGTTCTTGGCCGCTTAACTTGTGAATTGGAACCTCGGAGCGAGTCACAAACCAGAAATTTGCTGGAAGGGATGCATCAGGCCGCGTACAGTACACTCCAAATAAAATACCACCACGGTATGTAACACAGGAAAGTCGATTTCACTAGAAAATTAACACTGCAGAGAGTATTAGATAATTTTATCTTCTACACAACTCTTCAGCCCTCTTCCAATTCTTCCAATCCTCACAGACCATCGCTTTCTGACATATCACTCGATTCATCACTGCTGCCGTTGCTGTCCGCTCCATTATCTTAAATTATGTATATATTTCATATATTAGTGACAAAGCGTGACTAGGCGTGACCTACTGTAAAGGCGTGACGAGAGATCACCGTAGGTGTTAAAATACGACGAAGATTTGAAGTGTCTAAGCGTGACATACTATAACGGCGTTAAGAGATGTGGCCAGAAGTGTCGAAAAGTGACGAATATTTACAAAGAGGACCAAATGTGACAAAGCTTTACTAGGCGTGACGTACTATAAACGCTTGACGAATTGTGGCCATAAATGTCAAAAAGTTACAAAAATTTTCAAAACGTTAACTAACCTTACAAAATCCACTAAACGAACTTAACCTAACCTACCCTACCACAACCAAACCTAACCTAACTTAACCCAACCTAACATAATACAACCTACCTTAACCTAACCTGTCGTAATTTCATGTAACATTGCAAAGTAGCCAAAATTAACCGAGCCATACATAACATAACGTAAGCGTGAAGAAACGTGACATAGTGTCACGCGTGATTAAGCGCGACAAAACGTGACTAAGCGTGACTAGGCGTGGCGTACAGTAACGGAGTCACGAGATGTGGCCAGAAATATCGAAATATGATGAATATTTAAAAAGCGTGGCCAAGCGTGACAATGCGTGACTAGGCGTGGCGTACAGTAACGGAGTCACGAGATGTGGCCAGAAATATCGAAATATGATGAATATTTAAAAAGCGTGGCCAAGCGTGACAATGCGTGACTAGGCGTGGCGTACAGTAACGGAGTCACGAGATGTGGCCAGAAATATCGAAATATGATGAATATTTAAAAAGCGTGGCCAAGCGTGACAATGCGTGACTAGGCGTGACGTATTACAAGGCCGTGACGAATTGTGGCAAAAATTGTCAAAACGTCACAACAATTATCAAAACGATTGATAAACTAACAAAATCCACTACAGAACTTAACCTAACCTAACCTAACCCAACCCAACCAAACGTAACCTAACACAACCTAACCTAACCTAACCTAACCTAACCCAACCAAACACAACCTGACCTAACCTAAGCTATCCTAACCTGTCGTAACTTCATTTAATGTATTGTAAAGCTGCAAAAATTAACTGATCCGTATGTAACATAACGTAAGCGTGAAGAAACGTGACTTAGTGATCACGCGTGCTCAAACGTGACATAGCGTGACTAAGCGTTACCTGCGTTCACGTGGTGACAAGGTAACACCAAATGTGTACAACCGTGATGAAAATTTACAAAGCGTGACTAAGCGTGACAAAGCGTGACAAAGCGTGACTAGGCGTGACATGCCATAATGGCGTGACCGCAGCTGACCTTAAGTGTTAAAATAAACCGAAGATTTTAAAAACGTGTCTGCGCGTGACCAAGCGTGCTCAAGCGTGACAAAGCGTGACAAAGCGTGACAAGGCGTGACGTACAGTAATGGAGTCACGAGATGTGGCCAGAAATATCGAAATATGACCAATATTTACAAAGCGTGGCCAAGCGTGACAAAGCGTGACTAGGCGTGACGTATTGCACGGCCGTGACGAATTGTGGCAATAAGTGTCAAAACTTCACAACAATTATCAAAACGATTGATAAACTAACAAAATCAACTATAGAACTTAACCTAACCTAACCCAACCAAACCTAACCCAACCTAACCTAACCCAACCTAACAAAACCTAACCTAACCTAACCTAACCTAACACAACCTAACCTAACCTAACCTAAGCTAACCTAACCTGTCGTAACTTCATTTAACGTATTGTAAAGCTGCAAAATTTAACTGATCCGTACGTAACATAACGTAAGCGTGCCGAAACGTGACTTACTGAACACGCGTGCTCAAACGTGACATAGCGTGACTAAGCGTTACCTGCGTTCACGTGGTTACAAGGGAACACCAAATGTGTACAAACGTGACGAAAATTTACAAAGCGTGACTAGGAGTGACATGCTATAATGGCGTGGCCGCAGCTGACCTTAAGTGTTAAAATAAACCGAAGATTTTAAAAACGTGTCTGCGCGTGACCAAGCGTGCTCAATCGTGACAAAGCGTGACTAGGCGTGGCGTACAGTAACGGAGTCACGAGATGTGGCCAGAAATATCGAAATATGACGAATATTTACAAAGCGTGGCCAAGCGTGACTAGGCGTGACGTATTATAAGGCCGTGACGAATTGTGGCCATAAGTGTCAATACGTCACAAAAATTATCAAAACGATTCATAAACTAACAAAATCCGCTATAGAACTTAACCTAACCTAACCTAACCTACCATAACCTAACCTATCAAATCCTAACCTAACCGAAAACGTCTAACCTAACATAACCTATCGTAACTTAATGTAACGTATTGCAAAGTTATAGAAATAAATGGAGCCTTACGTAACGTAATGTAAGCGTGCCGAAACGTGACTTAGTGACCACGCGTGTCCAATCACATAATATTTGTCCTTTGACTTATTTAATTCGATTAAATCGTACAGTTGAGCATTCAATACGTTGCCACAAAATGGGATGTTTATTTCCAATAGCTAAACTTTCATTTCGTCCTTTGATTAAGACGTCGGTGGTTTGTCTGTCTGTCTGTCTGTTGTGATCGAGGCGTTATCAGTGACCAGAAAGGAGAGTGCATCGAACAGGTGGCATATCATTAACACAGCACAGTCACAAGACAACAATTATCAGGCTTCCACACTGCTGCACTGACACAGACTGTACTGACCGACGGAAACTCCTTCCTTCCTTCATTGAGTGGTCCGCATACTGGGCACTACCTTCAAGGTCAGCGGCCATAATCGGTGGATCCAGTTCTATACACGCCGAAGGCGCGTAAAAAATACAGAGCCCACTACTTAAAATTCTCTGATCGAAGTGTGTAAATTATATACTATCGTTCCGACAACTTGCGACGTTAATAAATTCACGTGTGGCGTAATAATTCAGACGCGTTAACTGAGATCTGCCCATGACCTTGCGAATGGCAGGGAAATCCCGGCTGGGGATTTCCCGCCCTAAAATTTCCACGAGAAAGAAACGAATTTGCATATCCGCGCAAAGTGTTCGTTCTTGTCCAGTCTGAACCAGAATTAGAAACTATTATTATTAAAACTCCCCAATATCAAATATATTTAAAATCCCTTTACCTGTTCTCGAGATCTTGCATGGGTACAGACAGACGGAGGGACGAAGAGAGCGATTCTAGTGGCCGCTCCACAGAGTTGTGAACACGCTTACAAAGGGCAAACCAATTAAAACGTTCAGTCCATCTCCTGAGGTAAAATTATCTCTTGCGAGATCCTGACGTCTATCTGAAAGAACTAAACCACCTCGTAACAGATACCAGGCGTTTAATCATAATTAAGTGTTCTGCTATCAGAATAAAACACGGTGTCCCCAACAGGATGGATTTCGACACACTGACGATGGAGTTACGAATGAAGATACCTTCCCTGATTATCACCGCTGACTATGAAATGAAGGGGAAAGTGTTGGCCTTGTCGATGGAGGGGAAAGGAGACTGCACACTCAAGTTCAGTAAGTGACACTGGGACCCCCTTCTTTAAGAACCTTCAGATTCGGTGCCCAAACGACAGTGGACACTTCTACGACTTTCTGGCCAAGATATTAGGCATCGGAGCTCCACTGATTCTTTCATTATCACACAATTACATTTTTCACTTTCCTCAGTCTTAATTCATGAGTTACGTACGAGAAGAACACGTCAGTTGTCCATTACGGTTAAGATGGTAGAATGTTTGCCTACGATGGGGTCCGGCCGGGGTTAGATCCCCAGGCAAACACGCTACAAACCGAACTACAGCGCGGAACAGAATACTGCTTAATTATATGAGACTTACAAATTAACAGTGGAGTGCTCATACGTAATAGTTTAGCCAGTAAGCGAGGGCAGAGTCCGCTGTCCTACTGCAGAACTAAAGCCAAATCTGAGGGTTTAGGTAGACGGGGGTGCCCTCGTCGGTCTGCTGGCTACATGAACTGACTGTTATGTGGAATAAAATTTTAATAACCAGAACATAAACTGCTTGAAATTGTCAATATCTTATTTAGATTTACGTGTGAGTAAGTTCATTAACGGCGAAGGAAATACGAAATACGAGTGATAGCCAATCAGGTAGGCGCTGAGGCCACGCATGCGCGAATTCTGACAGCGAGGAAGCTCATAACACGCGCTCAATTTGGATTCCAGCGGAAGTTACGACCACTTGCCGCACTCTGTTTGAAATGGAAAATCGGGGAGGTCAGCAGTTCCTGGAGGTCAAGGACCTGAAGTGGACTCTCGGCGCACGAAACAGTCACTTCCAGTTCAACAACTTGTTCGGGGGAGACAAGACACTCGGTAAGCATACACACCGCATGCCTTCCTCGTATTCACACTTTCCGCGTCCAGGAGTAACCTGCCTGTTAATCAGACCATGAAGCGATAGATCTGTCGTCTCCCAGTCTCGCGTTCGTCTGTCCGTAAGACTGCCTTTTCTAGCTCTGAAGACGACTGTCTTCTGGATGTTGCGCCGTGTAGTCTGGTAGATGTTTACCAACGTTTCAAAGCCCTGAAGATGGAGACAGTAAGAACCTCCGAAACGTCGCTCAACTTCTGGGACACTACACGGTGCAATATCTCAGAAGACAGTCGTCTTCATGGCTGCCACCGTGATAACCTAAAATCACTTATATTTTTTCTTACTTTTCTCATTATTTTTCAAAAACTTCGTTCCACCGCTCTCCATAGTGACTTTCACCTTTCTCTATTCGATTCCCAACAAGGACGAATTATTATTCTTCTGTTAGCCTCCGAGCGCGGCGAACCGGTTCAGATGAACACCTAGCTTACCACCCGATGAATAATTGGCATTAATTCTCTGCAGATTAAAGCGACTGAGATGTGTCGCATCTAAATTATGCCACGGTTAGGAAACAGTGGGGCCACGCCTCCACTGTCTACCTACGTGTTTAATAAGAGCCAAGGTCAATTTACCTGGCAGACACACTTAATACTTGGCTTACGTCACTTGTTCTCATTCCAGGTAAGATGGCCAACACGTTCCTGAACGAAAACTCGCGCGAGGCTTTCAAAACTTACAAGCACCTGCCAGAGGAAGGTTTCGGAATTCTTTTTAAGAATATAAGTAACAACGTGTACCGAAAGTTCTCCTTCAAGGAGCTCTTTCCTGAGTAACAGCGTCTCCACGGACGTCAGAATGAATCTTCAGAGTACAATTTCACTTATTAGCGAAGATTAGGTTTATTAACAGAATGCCGACTACCATACGTAATTGGGGCGATCAGATCAAGTTTTTCGAGATGAGCACGAGAAAAGCGTACAAGTAATTTTAGACTAAAAACCTGCAGGAAAGAAGTCATTTGATAAAACTAGAATCAGATGGAATAACATTATTAAAACAGATATTAAATACTGGTATTTAATTCAACTGACTTAGAATTTGACCCCCAGTGAACACGACGATAAGCCTTCAAGTTTCACAGAAGGTGGGGAAATATTTTGATTTGCTGAACAATTTTTTAAAGACATATAATCTATTATTTTAATGAGAATTTGGATCGTAAAACGTAAAATATCTTTAGTGGCAGCGGCGAACATCCGATATCTAAAGAGCCAAGCACAGAGAAGTTTCTTATTAGACAGATGTTCAAGGTGTCTTGTTGCTAAGTAACCATAAGGCTCATTGTAAATGGAAACACAAGAACAAATATCAGGTATGTATTAAGTGACTGCGTAAAGAACGCGTTTCCGAGGTTAAAAATGGTGTTGGTCGATTCTTTCTCTGTTAATCTTATATTAGGATAACGCGTTAATGATAGATTATAAAGGACAAAACATGAATAATAAGTGGCAAGAAAATTCATTTATCGCGATCGTAGATTTTGTAATCTTCGGACGTGAACATGACCAGAAGTAAATCTACGAAACTTCTGGATTTGACAACAAAGAAAATGACTAGAAGCCACGATGAGACTTAGCAGTGATGTTAAAGACAGCGAACAGCCGCCAGCGAGAGAATGTGTACTGCTCTCGGACCGACAGTCAGAACCAGATTATTTTCTGAACACCAGACTCACAGAATTATTAATTCAGTGTAGCAGACGGTAAGAACCTCCGAAACGTCAGTTATATATAGGGAGAGACAGAGAGAGAGACTACAGTTACACTGTGTAAGACTTGAGGTTCTCACAGCGGTGAGTATGAAGATTTCTGTCTTCTGGGTTGTAGCGCTGTGTAGTCTGGTCGATGTTTACCAACGTTTCGGAGGTCATACTGCCTCCATCATCAGGGCGATGAGTATGAAGATTTCTGCCTTCTGGGTTGTTGTGCTGTGTAGTCTGGTCGATGTTTACCAAAGTTTCGGAGGTCATACTGCCTCCGTCATCAGGGCCCTGATGACGGAGGCAGTATGACCTCTGAAACGTTGGTAAACATC